GTAAATTTATGAAAAATAAACTCCTCGAACATTCCAGATGTGTCTCAGATAGGGTTATAGCTTCAATGAGATTTTCGCAAGCTACATTTCCTTTCAGGCTTCTACTTTTTCGGACACATGCTATTTTGCTAACTTATAAAAATATGTGCTATGAGCACCTTATTGTAGTAGAAGGTCTTAAGTGGATGATCACAGAAACTCAGTGTAATAAACAAGAAAGCAATAGGACAGGTTCCCCTGTCCTCTTAGTCCCAAAAGCATGCTTCTGGGTCACCAATGTTACACACAGAGGTCACATCTACTGGTCACAAAATAATTTAGTCTATATATATGCCCCTTGGCTTTGAGATTCCCTACCAAGGGTGTGAGCTAGCTATGCTGGTGGCTTTTGTCATGGGGATATCATGCAGTCGAGTGAGCCTCCAAACGAACATAAATTAGGCCTTGGACTGATAATATCCTACCAAGCGATAAAAAGCTTTAGTGGAGTCAATTAAATATCTGGATAACAAAACTTCTTCTATCCCTTAATCCTTTTAGGATTTTATTTTACAATCCACAGGTTATTTAATATACATTTTTTTATAGACAAATACGTATACATATCTGAGCACGTGTATGATTTTTTTTGGAGAAAGTCAAACATCTACTCAGTTTGAAAATACATAAGACAAGGGACAACTTCATTAGAGTGGCAGGTCAGGTTTACAAGTTAAACACTTAAAATACCTGTCTTTCCCCTTCTCCTGTCTGGTTTCCAGGTCTCCTGCTGATGGCAGAGCTATGATAGAATGAAGTATGAGTCTGGAGCAAAAGCCCAACATTTAAGGTAAATTTGGTGACCTGATATCACAAAAAATACATATCCTGATTTTAAGTCACAGAAGCACTGAAACAGCACCAGTGAGTGGTACTCTGCTTTGTGGTCTGGCATTAGTGTCAGAAGCCATGTGTTTTTTCCTAAAAACTGTATTTAAATGTAGAATAATTTTATCTGACATATGAAAAATTACAGCACATACTCTTGCTGAAGTTTATGTCAACTGTGGTGGTAGTTGGAATGTCAACACGTTGCCCATAGATATGCTTTTTAAAAACTTAGGTGTATGAAAAATGATTGTGTTTAGGAAAAATAACTAGACGAAGAGGAACCATGATGCAATTGAATAGAAGTATTCAATTCTGCCCATCATTTGCAGTTGATTTAAAATTTAGAAGTCTATAGTAGCTGTGGTTTTTTATTTTGTTTTGTTTTGTTTTGTTAAAAAAAGATAGTATCTCTAGTTCCTTCCTGTACTAACTCAGTTAGCAATCTACCTTGATAACACTGGAGTGAAAAAAAAAAAACAGTGAAAACCCCTTCAAACATATCATCCAAATCATATCTAAAAAGGTGGTCATAAATATTTTAGAACCCAAGCAAACTAATAAGAGCTAGGCCCATTAAGGATAAGATCTTTTACAACAAATTAAATAAAACAATTTATTGAAGCCTGGACTTGAGATAAACTAGATTTACTCGCTGACCTTTTATTCATTTAAAGAACAAAATTAGCTCTAATTGCATTAGAATGGAATCCAGTAAATTTCTTCTAATGTGGCATCCATGCACGTATTGCTGTAATTGTTTACAACTAAGATGGAAATGCTTTGATTATAATCTACTTTCTTCTTGGTTTACTGTGCAGTTAAAACACTTACAAAAAAACCTGAAGTGGAACAGTTTTTCCAATATTGGCTTCTCCGTTCTTCAGTAACAGTACATTTTCATGTCTATTAACCTAACGTTATTAATAGCAGTTTCTTTTGAACTGATGTGTGCTGTAAGAATATTTGCACACCAGATAAGCTTGAACGTAGAGATCACTTTGAGTCTAGAAGCAATACATACCTGTATTCACAGGAACAAGAAAGGAGGAGATTTTTCTGCCACTGCCATCACTGCTTTAGATGTTGGTTCAAGCAGAGGAGCCAAGAAGCAAAATAATAAACCGTTTGCTACACTGCAAAGGCATTTTCCTCACTATTGCTGCATTATTTGAGTGAACCTGTGTTGCTGCTGTTGTGCTGTGTTTATGGTGTGCCGTGAATCTCCATTTCAATCCGCATCAATTGAACATTTTTTCTTCAGACACCTGAAAGACTTCGTGGCCTCACCAATATCTGTATGTACTTCCATTAAAAGCAATGTTTTACGTGAAGTTCCCCCCAAACAAACCAACCTCCAGTTGAATAGGTACTTAAGTACTTCCAAAAGCCTCCAGACAGCTCTTCTCCTTAAGAGAGGAAATTGAAATAACTCATTAGCCCATCTAGTTTTTACTCATCGAATTCTATGAACCTACAAAAACTTTTCCCATACCTTTCCACAGCCATTCATGGTATTTTCAAACAATCCCATGCTAGGAAACTCCAGAGATACGCTAATTGAAACATAACATTTCTACATGGTAATTACCAGATATTCAGTTCTTCATTATCAGCACAGATGAAACATAAGTTTAACTTTTCTTTAACATAACACAGCACAAAAGCATAGCTTTCGTTTCTGCCTGTTATGAGCTACTTAAAGGTTGATGGTCTTTTCAACTAGTAACTTCAAATAGAGGTTCCAGAGGCTTCTGGTATTACTTCAGAGGTCCAAGCCTTACACAGCCATGTGATGCTTTGCCCTCAGAGCCACACCAGTCTTTTTCATAACGATCACAACACATGAAAATTAAAATACGCTCTGAGTTCAGGCTGAATATTAATTGTTCAGGATGCAAGCAAAAGTATTCTTCAGAGCAGGACAGCTCTACCGCGAGCCCTGCCGCGTTAGACACCAGATTAACATGCGACACAAAACTTCCCAGAACCATGTCGCACAAACTGTATTTACTTGTGTAACGGCAGATTTCTTTCCGGATCTTGCTTTGGAAAACTATGGCAAATCCTAAAAGCTATTACAAAGCTCCTTAAGTTCTTGTTTGCCATCAGCCAGAAGGTGCAACTGGGTGATACGGCCATTACACCGCGACAACGTGAGGGTGCCGGTATGGTGGGCAGTGAGGGGAGATATTTAAGGTAGAAAAGGGAAACCAGTAAGCAACTAGAGGTGGAATACTAATGACTCAAACCTCGTTTGGTTATGCAGCCTAAACCAATCTCAAGGATGACTGTCACGTGGAGAAGATGAAGTTCCCCTTGTAGGCCCAGTACAGATGCTGCAGAGAGCTGGAGCTCAACCACTTTTTAGCATGTCCTACCCGCTACCTCCAGGACTCCCCTGCCCCTGAACATCTTGGCCTTGGTGTTTAATTCTCTCCTATTTCGTCTAGAAGCTTTGAGCTACGTCAGCTTTGTGTAATTCCCATCCTGGAGTCCGGGTTTAAACTCTAAACTCTGCTGTGCTAAGGGTCACAACACCTGAAGTCCTCAGATGGTGGTCACCATTCCACTAAGGATGCACAAAGGAAACTGGGATAGAAGCGAGTTTCCCAAAAGGCCATAAAACAGGATGTCAGTATCTCTGACCCACTACTGGCTGGAAGGGCTGACGATGACGTACCCATGATTTGTAACACGCAGATGGAGTTTGAAGTCCCTTCGTAAAATGTGTGTGGGTACGAGAAAGATTGGGGTGAGGTAAGATGGGAAGCAAAGTTAACTCTTTGGTGCTAAAACATGGCTTCAGAACTTAAATTTAGAAGTCCTGCCTTGGAAATATGACTAAATTTTCCCCATGTAAACACTTGTGCAGACCTTGAAAAAAGAGGAGTTTAAAAATATCCATAGCTCCTCAAGGAGGAAAATGAATTTGTGGTCTTTGAAGGGAGAGTCTGTCCATCCATGAACATTCAAACCTGCACAGCAGGACAGACAACTGTTCTGAGAAAGCAGGAGCTTGTGTACAGCAATCTGAGGCACACAAATTTTAAGTTACACTCAAATATTGTGAAAGGAAGAAAGCAGAAACAGTTGAAAAGCAGGAAAAAGTCCTGATATTTGAGGTGGGGGTGTCCCATAGAAACCAAGAAGTCCCATAGCAACTTCAAACCAGTAAAAGTCAGTTACCTACTGGGGAGGAGTAGGACAGCACAGAAAGAGAGAGTAATCGTCAAAGATGCCAATTAACTTATAAAGCAGAAAAATTATCAATAAGGAGATTTAGTTCATAATGGCTACAAAAGACAAACAACTACATTAGTAATATTTAATGTGATGAATGGAAAGGAAAAATCTGTTTGGTGCTCCTGTTCACCATCAGACATGGAAGCGTGCTCTGCACCATTAAAAACAACATGAAAAACCTGATTACAAGAAACCCTTCACATACATCAGGAGACCAGCCTAAAAAGCCCAGTGACGCGTGGTTTCCCCAGCCTCTCCAGCCACCTGTTTATGCTGTATGATCTCAGCTTAGGGATCATCCTATTTACGCTCGTACGGTACAAAGTAACTATTATTTGTACAACAGCACCCGATAATTAGGGGAGCTAATGAACCAACATTTGAAATGCGTTAGGTACACTCATGAATAATCATCAACAGTTATAATAAAACAAATGCATATGAAGGAGTTTCCACTGTTATGTTTTAAAGCATAAAACAACTGTTAGCTGAAGAGCGTTATGAAACTTCGCTGTCGGTTACACTAGGGATAACCATCCATTATGGAAACCCCATTAGAAGTCACTGGAGGCAGCATATGAGTCTAGATGGAGTCTTGTAATCCATACCCTAGAAAGGCATGGAGTGGGAAATAACAGTAGGATGGATGGAAGAGGATGGGTCCCACTTGGAGAGTACAGGAAAAAGGGAAAAATGTCCAAAAAGTTTCAAACGTTAAGCATTCTGCTTGGTTTTCATTAGAATGGTCAAAAGATGTCATAGCTGCACGAGTATCATTTGCTGCTAATTTTTAAGTGTTTCCCACCGAAAATAAAAGAGCTACCACAGGTGACAGAGGATGAACTGTGGTAAGCATACACCTTGCGGATGGATTTATTCGTACTTACATCTTGTCTTGGCCTGCACCCACTCTTAATGTCAGCCGAGGAATAACCGGTGATGGAGCTGGAACAACTGGTTCCACCTTTATCTGTATGAGGGAACACAATCATCAATCAAAGACTGCAAGCAGACTCCCAAAATATATTAATTACATGAAAGCACTGATGGAGTTAACCAAACAGAGTGTGTTGGCTTAATGAGCAGACCTATGACACACTGATCACTACTCTCTCACGCTTCGTGCTGTGGCATGGATGGTCAGAGTCTGTTGGGTGGTCCCAGCCATAGCAAATCAGAAATATGAATTCTGGGCTAAAAAAATCAACTTGCATTTGTACCTGCTCATACACTTTGTTAACAAGTCTTCCCAATTTAGTATTTTTCTAGAGACACAACCCCCCCCAGTATATTTCTAAACAATGACACGAAATGCTTTGACCGTAGTACTCAAACTTGATAGGCACTCACTGGTGTTTGCACTTTTTTCTGAGATTTAAATTCAATTATTTCCCAGGTTCACCACATAAATGTACTGCGGCCCTCTTGAATCAAAATTAGACACAGAGGAAACAAATAAACCCCAAGCACCAACACTGAATACTTTATGAAAGTGATATCCACATAGGTGTAACAGAACCACTGCTTTTTAGTGCAATTAGGTGGAGGTTTCCAATGGCGATTTTTCAAATGGCCCGGTTTCCAACCTCAGTACCTGGTGGAGTTCAGACCACTTGAATATCTCCTTAAACTCTTTGAACCAGTATCTGCCAAAATTACCAACTTCCACTGAGCTTGTACTTTGCAAAACCTGTACAGAATCACCTCAGATTTTACAGCTGACACTGTAATGAGTCTCTGTACAGAAGTTGCTCAACTTATAACCATGTATATGATAAGTGTATATATCTATATATCTATAGAAAGAGAGGGAGACTGATCTTATTTTAGCCACACGTGTCATTGTATTTAATAAAACAACCACTTAGCTGAATCTGGTCCAGGAACTTAGAGAGACAAAAATATTACGCGTACACTAAATGGAAACCCGAGCAACTCTCAGGGGGAGAAATCTGTTTTAAAAGGCTTTCATAAAGAAAGGGAGGGCAAACAATCATCTCAAAGCACAGAAAGCAGGGCATGAGACAGCAGGCCAGAGTGGGAGGACTCAATTAGGACTTACGTTGAGGAATGGTAATGACAAAGTCCCGTGCCACGCACCTTGCCCAAAGAATCGGACCTGCTCATTTGGAGATGTCTACTCCAGAGAGAGAAGCACCGCAGCCCGTGCAGTATTTCTGTGTTGACAGAATTAACTATGTTTTTCAGTAAAGCTCTCCATGGATATGTATTAGCCTACTACACAGGTCTCTCTCTATTCTTTTGTTTCTATAGCGCATTTTTTTTTTGTTATGTCACTCCCCTGGAGAGTTGCAAGAGTTTTTTTTTTCCTCTGGAGCTCCTAATGCCTGGAACAATTTCACTGCCACTTTCCATAGTTAAGTCTCTAAACTGCTTTCCCGGCACCTTAACCTGTAGCATCATCCACTGAATAGAGACACGGAACTGAACCCTGGGTACCAGAGGCTCAGGTACATGCCTTAGATTATCTTACCTCTTCTCCTGCAGGTTTGCCATTCTGTAGCACTTATTTCAAATACAAAACTTCCAAGGACAAGCATTGCTACTTAGCTTCCCGCACACAGCACAGACAGATACCCATGTCATCCATCCTCTGTACTAAGGTCTTTTGTATTACTATTTGTATACCACCAAGATGTCCTAAAAAATGGTGGTGTGGGCTCATGTGGCAGAAGAAAAGCACATAAACCACTTCTTTATGCTCAGATACCAACATTGCAGCCTGCCCTGAGAGGAAAACGGCTCCATGACAATCCTAAATCTTATCCTTTGATACGAGAGGAGAGGAAGCATCTTTCTGCAACACGGGTTTGTGTGACTGGAGAAGAGGGAAAATTAAGGAGCATTCACAGCCATATCCTGCACATCCTGGTTTTCCTCTACATCGACGACAGGATTTTGATTCACAAGGGCAGTTTACTTTGGGGCAGCTCTGCTCCGATGCAAGGATGGCTCCATTTCTCGTGAAGCAGTTCCTCAACTACTTTAGTTTACGGCTCTGTGTATTAAGGTTAGCTGAAACTGGGTCAGCAGCTGCTTCGTGAGCTGCTCAGTCACTCCTACAGCACGCCCGGTAATCTGCATCGCGGAAAGTGGGGTGTAACTGCTTCAACTGTCTGCTTTTGGTTTGGTACTGCGTGCAAGGCAGAGCCCCAGCTCACTGCCTCCGCTTCTGGCTCCAAGGGCAGCAGCCCAACACTTACTGCGGAGCAGGGAGCTGCAGGCAAGCCCTACGCAAAAGCTCCTCTTCCTCAGTCCCACCACCGAACACTTCTAGCACGCAGCCTTTAGCTTCTGCTTTCTGCCATTCATGCCGAGTACTGGTTGCTGTTCTGTGTCTTCCAGCAGCTCTGGGCAAAATTACAGGGAAAACTTGATAAAAAGTTTCAATTCCCCAACAGAATGGGATGCACACTTAGAATCATAGAATTGTTAAGGTTGGAAGGGACCTTTAAGATCATCAAGTCCAACCATTAACCTGACCTGACAAAACCACTTCTAAACCATGTCCCCAAGTACCACATCTACCCTTTTTTTAAACACCTCCAGGGATGGCGAATCCACCACCTCCCTGGGCAGCCTATTCCAATGTTTGATAACCCTTTCAGTGAAAAATTTTTTCCTAATATCCAATCTAAACCTCGTCTGACATAACTTGAACCCATTTCTTAGGTAATAACTACAACTACAACTCAAAAATGGAAATACTACCGTTGACTCACTCTTTTGTTTGAGTGGACCGACATTAGAAATAGCAATCTGGTTATTTTCTACTGGCAGCGGGAGCTGAAGCTGCAGTTAACCCACGAACTCATCCTTCAGGCTGCGCTGCTGCCGCCGCAGTGGCGGCACCGTGGAAGGTCACGCGTCCCAGCGGTGACTTGATCGTTTGCTCTTGCAGCGCAACTGCCGGCTAAATAAGTCATTGTGTGATCTAAAAGCTAAATTAAGGAAACATGTACTTTTAGGGGTTAAAACGGAAGAGCAGCATTCTGGAGTAATACTGGGAATTGGGGCCAGCAGAAGAGCATTTACAGTGGATTACTAAGCTTCCCAAATCACCAAAGAGGTAAAGTCCAGCAATATAAGACTCCTTTGTAGCTAACTAAAAATACATTGTCAGTGGATTTGTCCAGTTTTATGTATAAGCAATACTTCTTTCACCTGAACTAATACTAGTAGTCATATAAGCCCCTTATTGCCATGTGCTGCATTTTTTTTGCTAATCTTCAAGGATTTAGCTTCTTTGCCACATACCTCAGGGCACCAACTGATAAAGCTCTAACTCTCCATTTTTCCAGGACACCAGCAGTGCGGCCTTGCAAAAAATGAAAATCGCTCAAGAGATTTAAAGGGGAAATTTATTTTTAAAATCCTGACTTGCAGCAAAGAGGTGGATTTAAAAAAAGCTTATCTATCAAGAATCAGTTTAAATTTTAATTCTATCTGGGGACTCTTTCATGCATTCTAGCTTTAAAGTTTATCTTTTGACAGGGACTTTTTGCCAAGGTAACGGGCAGCTTTGTCAATTTAATTTGTCCAAGTTTTTATTACTGTTGAACTCCTTTTCCTAATATATATATGTTCAGTCTATACCACACCGTTACCAGTTTGTGTTTGTGCATCTGTTATGTTGCTCTAAAGCAAACTAGATAAAGAGATTTGCAGAAGAAATGCAAAATTCAATGTATGAAAACCAAGCAACTCACTGTCTCTATTTCATATACACACGTATTTAACTTAAAAAGAAACCTCTGCAGAAATTCTCAGTGAAATACTGACAAAACATCTCAGGCGTGAGGGGCAGACAGACAAAACGAGGAATCTGTGAAAGTGTTGCTGCAGTCTAAAACCAGACAGTAAATTAACATGGACAACTGGACCACCACCCTGTCAATCACTGACTTGTCCACAGCAGACAAACGTTAGTTCTCCAGATCACCCAGATTCTGCACTGAAAAACCATTTGTCAATGTAAAATATATGTCAAGTTTTGAAATCAGCAGTTTGTTTCAAGTCCATCAGATAGCACAACAGGGTACGGTGGCAAAAAAGAAAAGTGAGGATGTCCCAAATCTGAGCTTGTAGGAACTGAGTATTACACTCAAAGCAGGAGGTAAAGAGCATCTTGGTAAAACCAGAACTTATATAGTGCTTCCTAATGCCAAGGATAGAGGTTCAGGAAATCCTGTATCCAAGGTTATCACATATGAAGACAATCTCCTCCTTTTCTTCTTTTTCCTTCTTTTTTTTTTCTTTTTATTACATGAACAATTTAATGCATATGATAAGGTGACGTGACAAAAAATAAGAGCAAACCCTGAATTAGGGGAGCCGTTTCTAATGGGATTTCAAATCTGATAACATGCAAATATGCTGGTTTCATTTCTTAAATATATTCTCAAGATTAGGTGATATTAGAAAGAAGAAATTATCTTTGGCTGATGTAAATCAGTAAGTTACAGGAGTGGAAGGAGCTCAATCCACTCGAAAACTAGCTCTGCTCTTCTCTCTCTCAAGCGCAAGACTCAAAATGAAAGGTGACATTTGAACATTTAGACCATATTGTGAAAACAATTTTCTTACTTCAAACAAATTAGAGCAACAAGGGGGAGGTCTTGCTAAGAGAGGATTCAGCAGCTCTTCCGTACACCTGAGATAACTGGTGAAAGTGTTTTTTTGAAAGCAGTCTGCTCCTCATTTCTGTCCACCTGCTAATGTACAGGCTTCTACAAGCTTTGGAACAGCAGACTTTTAGAAACTAAATTTCAAGTTTATATGAAAGGTATATGGTTGCTGGCCCTACTAGTGGAAATCTACAGAACAAAATTTGTGCATTGCAACACTACATCCATTTGGGGTGCGTGTGCTGTTGCTGAGTCCGAGTCCCAGCTTTTCAGAGCAAAAAGTGAGTTGAGGAAAACCAGACAGACAATCTCACATTTCAAATTCACAAAATCGAACTTCCGTTGTTTTCTCTTCCAAAGAGGTGGGACAATCCCTCGAACTCTTGAGGGAAGTCTTCCTTGGAGCTGTCATTTTAAAAAAAATACCAAACCTGTAATCACATATCTTCTCAAAGCTCTTAAACGAGGCTCAGCAGCAAACACAGGAATCCGCGTGCATTTTTCAAGCAAGTATGCCATCTCAACTCATCTAAACAGCTTACCTTTTCATGTTTGTGTTTCTCTTTCTCTTTCTCTTTCTTTTCTCTTTCTTTCCTCTCCTTTTCCTTCTCCTTCTTTTCCTTTTCTTTGTCCTTCTCCCTTTCTTTCTTTTTCTTCTTCTCTTTTTTGTCCTTCTTCTTCTCTTTTGGTTTCTCTTTGTCCTCAAAGAGTTTGTCAGGAAGCATTGGAGACAAGGAAGGTAACATGCTGGGAAGCCTCATGGCAGTTGGTGTGCTGAACAAGGGCAAAGACATTTCTTTGGGAGGTAACACAAGAGGTGCTGATGGAGCTTTTATCTTATCTTCCTTACCCTTATCTTTAAGTTTCTCTTTGTCTTTCTTATCCTTGTCTTTTTTGCCTTTCTCCTTCTCTTTCTTTTTATGTTTTTCTCTCTCTTTTTTGGTATTGCCATCTTTCAACTTTACTTTCGTGTCAGCTTCCTCAAAGTCCTTTAGTTTGAATTTATAGGGATCAAGATCATCATCTTTGAGTAGTTCCTTCCACTGAAATTTCGCTTCCTTGTTTCCTTCCTTGTCTTTATCCTTCTCCTTGTTCTTTTCCTTCTCCTTGTTTTTCTCCTTGTTTTTCTCTTTATCTTTTTCCTTTTGTTTTTCTTTCTTCTTCATTTTTGTCTTCAGCTCCTTTTTCAATTTCTTTTTCACTTCTACCGATGAAGCCAACTTGGTTTTCTCCTCATAGACTTTGAGAAGAGGTTCTGGAGTTGGTGGTGAAGCAGAAGGAGAGGAGAAATAAGTGAAGTTGGTAGGTGGATTAGAAGGTGTCCCCATGTTTGCCTTTCGAATGACTTCATCAATTGAGTCATCCATTGTCCATGAAATGTCTGAACTTGAAGTCCCACCTGAGGGAGGTATTGGAGTTGCTCCTGCTTTATTTGCATTATTGGCAGAAACAGAAGGTTTAGGAGTTGTAGTCTCTGAAATAGAAAGTCTTTTAGGACTGGTAAAAATTTCCCCTTCTGATTCAGAACCGGAGGAAAACTCAAAGGGATCTGGTTCTCGTTCTGCACAGGCACGAGCAATCACAGCATCGATTGAGTCATCAATGGTCTTGTCCATTACTGGTAGTTTCTTAGTCTGGTTTTCAATATTTGGCTTGGTGGCAGGCTCAGGTGGCGTCTGTCCTTGTTTTACTTGAATGTTTTCCTTTCCTATCTTGTCACTTAATGCAGCCAGGGGGGTTCTACTTGGTGTTTCAGGCTTGACAGGTGGTTGGGGAACATGAGCAGGAACCTTTGGACTTTTAGGACTTTTGGGGCTCTTGGCGCGACCCGGTGACTTTTTCTCTTTGGATCCAGTTTTTGGTGAACGTATAGGACTTCCAGTTACCACTGGTGAGGGTGTAGGTTTAGGTGATTTTGTCTTCTGTCCTGGAGAACTTGTTTTGGACTTTGTTTTGGGTACAAACGGCTTTGACTCTAAAGTTTTGGGGGTTGGCACTTGCGATTTTGCAATGGGAGCCAACATCGGCGGTTCTGGTGAAGGAGGGGCTAAGTCTGTATTGTCCTGAACATGAACTGGAGAAAGCATCGGCGGTACTTTTTGAGTATTTATTGAGCTAAGAGGCTCACGTGGTTCCAAAGCTCCGTCCAAGGTGTCCCCTTTAGAAACAGAAAGTTTTGGCCGTTTCACAGGTGGAAATTCCTCAGCATCAGGACTTTCTAACGGTCTCTTGCTCAAGTAGTTCTCATCATTAATCGCCTCGTCCTCTTCCATATCTCCCTCTTCCTCCAGTGGCACCTGCATGGCCTCTGCAGATGTACCTCCATCGGTAGGCACCTGTTCCTCTTCCTCTTCTGTAACAAAGAACATTTTGAAAAAGCATTAGGATAATTAAAAATGTGTTTTACAGAAGCAAGCCTCGGAACAAACGTTCACATGCATCTCAGTCCATAAGAGAGAACCGGCTACCTAACAGCTTCTTACTGGTCTACCTGGAAGGAAAGCATGGCATCTCCTCTGTCTTGCATCAGCCACCATCACAACTGGCAGCTGCCCTCATCCTCATGAGCAAAGGATATGAGGGTAGAACTCACCAATGACAGTAGACCCTGCAGAGCAGGTCCAAAGTGTCAGTTCTACCTAAAAACATCTCGATTATTTCTTACAGCTGTTGTTGGGATTACAGTAACATGAACTTGCTTCATTCATTTGAAATGAAGGGAGAGAGGTTGAAGCGTTTTTTGCTGTAATGAAGTGGACTGCAAAGTACACATCAAAGTACAATTCACTGGAATTCACTCTCTTGCCTATATATCACACAATTTTGACTACAGATTAACTACTAGGAAAATGTCTTCCTAAACCTGGTTTGTTTTTCCTGAAGCAGCACAGTTGGAAGGTTAAGGCAGAGACTTAAGCACCATTCAACCTGCCAGGTTCTGTCTCTTGATACCATCTTAAGAGCTTGCTGCACATGGATGTTATCTGTTGTGATTATATGGGAACACCCCAGAGTTGCGTGTGTGTGTGTTGGTGTGGATCAGGAGCACGCCTTTGAAATGCAGCTCCCAACCATCCACGCTTACTGTTGTTTTGTTTACATCATGGAGCAATCCTGGAGTCCATATGCTGGCTTCCTGTTAAAGTGAACCCAAAAATGAAACGTGCATGGGGCAATCCCAGGCACAAATACAAGCTTGGCAGAGAATGGATCAAGAGCAGCCCTGAGGAGAAGGACCTGGGGGTGCTGACTGATGAGAAGCTCAACATGAGCCAGCAATGTGCAATTGCAGCCCAGAAGGCCAACTGTACCCTGGGCTGCATCAGAAGAAGTGTGACCAGCAGGGCAAGGGAGGTGGTTCTTCTCCTCTACTCTGCTCCGGTGAGATCTCACCTGAAATACTGCATCCAGCTCTGGAGCCCCCAGCATAGGAAAGACATGGACCTGTTGGAGTGGGTCCAGAGGAGGGCCACGAAGATGATCAGAGGTCTGGAGCACCTCTCCTATGAAGACAGGCTGAGAGAGTTGGGGTTGTTCAGCCTGGAGAAGAGAAAGCTCCGGGGAAACCTTATTGCTGCCCTCCAGTCCCTAAAGGGGGCCTATAGGAGAGCTGGGGAAGGACTTTTTACAAGAGCATGTAGTGATAGGACGAGGGGGAAATGGCTTCAAACTGGAAGAGGGGAGATTTAGAATAGATATTAGGAAGAAATTTTTCACTCTGAGGGTGCTGAGGCCCTGGCTCAGGTTGCACAGAGAAGCTGTGGCTGCCCCATCCCTGGAGGTGTTCAAGGCCAGGCTGGATGGGGCTTTGAGCAACCTGGGCTGGTGGGAGGTGTCCCTGCCCATGGCAGAGGGGTTCAAACTACATGATCTTAAAGGTCCCTTCCAACCCAAACCATTCTATGATTCTATGAAATGTTGCCAGAGGAATACACCTAACATGCTCCAGTCATAAGCGGGCGTTTAGGCCCAAACCCCCAGCTTTTGAAAATAACATCAACCTGAAACATGCACAGTGTGGACATCAGGCACCAACTGTTTCAAGCCACTGTGGACACCACCTGTGTGATTGCTCTGCTTTTTTTTGTTTAATAGCAAAGTTACCTGCTGCCTGTGAGGGAGCAGGGTTACATGGCGTGGACATTATGGTGCAGAGAAAGGAGAAAATTCACTTGAGATCTCCCAGCAAACCCATTGCAGGTTTGAGAAGAGGAGAACCTCTGATCTCCCCAACCACAGCCAAGCCCTTTATCCTCTTGGATACACTTCCTCACTTTCAAAATGGAATTACCCAAGCAGCAAAAAGGATTCTTAGTCTGGAATAAGAAGCAGCGCACCAGCATTAACCTGACACATTTATATTTGCTGTAATTATGTCATTATACCTATGCGGGTTAACGTTCCTGTGTAGACAACCTCACTTCACTTTACCCCATGTCTCTGTTCACCCACCTGCAAAAACACGTGACATTTTGTCTAGCAGGAAAGATATCAAGTGCCCTAAGATTCTCACATGAAATACGTAGTAAAAAGCATTTATTATGACAGTGGATAAACCCCAACTTCTTAATGAGCAGGTGGTTTTAAAGGAGCAAACGTTGAGGAACTTGTAACATTACACCAATTAAAGCTTTGTAAGACAGCATCTTTCTGAAATATCTCTTTTCGAGGTGTTTTATTTTCAGGTTTTCTGTGCTGGTGTTTCTCTGCTGTAATGTGTCAATGCTCTGATTTAGGAGAGTTGAGTCAAGAGCCCTGGGCTGCAGCACAAATCTTGCCAGCATCACAAATTAAGTAAAATGAGCTAGCAACTCTGGCTTTTGCCAGGGCCCAGAGGATTTACAGCAGCCAGCCCAGAGAGGAGACTTTGCCTGAGGATAAAGTCTTAGCCTTCCGTGAAAAACAGAAATGTTAGGGAGTTAGGTTTTGCCTGGCTGGGCACTGACATTAAATTTTTTAAACTGCAAAGTTAAGAGTATAACTGAGAAATCACTGTGGATCGAGCCTGCACCTGCTATGGGGGCAAAAAAAACCCCAAACGCTTCCAGATCATGGAAGTCATTTCAACCTCTGTTTAAGCTGTTGTAGAAATCAGCCGCCTTCATCTGCTCAAAACTGTTTTGGGGATGAAGAATTAGCATTCATCAGATGTCACACAGCACTGGCTGCTACTGAGCAATTCCCTCCCAACGCCATTCAGCCTAGTTCGCTACTGAGAGTTTGTTTTCGTTTAAAAATTTAAAGAGCGATAAAATTTAAAACAAACACCAGACTTTAAAATCGGGATTTCGAGTCTTCTGCCTTGGCTACAAGATTCAAACATTAGGAAAGACAGGGTTGGATCATGCAGACTTTGGAGATAGCAACATAAACCATTGTAATATCAAAACAGTCAGTAAAGTGGAAGAGAAACTACTGCAACGAACTGTAAAAAAAATTACATTTGCTAGAGAAATCAGAGCACTTATTTGCTAAAGATTTCTGTCCGGTGTCCGCTTAAACAGCCACTCTGTTACACTGCGTCTCACGGAAGTGCACTGCAGTATTTCATATTTTCCTAGCTCCTTCTCATCCCAAGGTGCTTCTCATGTTTTACCTACTCAGGACTGCTGAAAACCAGCAGCTGCTGGATCAAAGGCGAAAAAACAGTTTCAGAGGAGGGTTGGAGAACAGGGACCGGAGTTTTGTACAATAATAATAAAAAAAAAGAGCATTATTTTTTTGTTAATAAGGCCAAGTAAAGTTTGCACCGGGCCCACGAAGTCTCTGTGATCTTGTGTGGAGGTGCCGGGGAAGGGCAGGAGAGGTTAAAGTGCAGTTTGTAGAGGTGAGACTAGAAATCGGGGTGTCTTGGCTCCAGCTTTCATGCACATTCCTGCAAGCCACAAAGACAACTTAGTAAGGAAGCAGAAGCATTACCATCCCTTTTATACGGACTTGGATTCCCCAAAACATCTGGAAAAAATTGCCTGGGTCAGTCCTGAACAATCCAGGGACTAAGGAAGTTCACGAGCACTTAACTACTGACACACATTCACCACTTTTCAGACATGCTCAGATGACAATCTGGAATCCTATCGTGGTCAAATGAAACCCAAATTTCTCTTGGAACAAGGCCACGGTCTGATCCTCAGCGAGGACTGGTTTGCTGCCAGGCAGCGGCTTTCAAACCTGAGCCACCGCAGCTGTGGCCATGGCAGAAAACAATAAAGCACTTTTTTTTGGGGGGAGGGGCGGTTTTAATTAGAGAAAGTGAAATCTCTGTCTTACGTTCAAGAGCTACAGGCTCTTTTTCCTCCAGAAGGATTCACATGGGCGCAGGAACCAAATACAGGAAAACATCAGTTTTTAAGCGTAATCTGCTTGACTTGGTGATGAGCATTTAAAACCACGCAGCCACTTTTTCACCTTTGTCCATCTCATTCGCTCCCCGGCACTTCTCGGCGCGC